AAATGAGGCACCACTCGTGTAAATATCCTCTTTCCTTTTTTATTTGCCAGGCGGACAATGAAACTTAATAAAATGCGTATTTATCGTTTTAAATAAAGTTTATATTAAAGTAATAATAACTTGGCATTCTTTTACTAAGAAAAAGGGGGCTCTTCCTTATTTTCAGCAATATTTATTTGATAAAGGTTTTACTAGGATTATCTGGACTTCTGGTTTAATCATCGGGTTTAGATTATTATTTAAATTTCAACTGAATCAATGAATATTAGAGATATTATCTCAACATTTATGTACTCTTGTACACCCAAAAAAATAAACAAAATGAAAACAATTAGCTGAATATAATACAATAATTTCTCCAAAATGATTTTCTTTAGTCCCTTCCCAAACATTAACTTTTTGTGTATAAAACACATACGGGAAACATTTCCTAAGTTAACAGTTCTGTCTTTACTTTTTTTGTGAATTAAACATGGGTTTTAATGTTCCACATGACGGCAGATTGTTTTCAGTGTCGTTAGGTACTTCTCCCTGGGAAATATATATATAAACAAGCAAGAAGAGAGTACGGTAAATAGGTCTTATCAATCCCAACTTAGTCCGAATGCTTCTTCGGATGCCATCGCGGAATTTCGGGAATCCGCTGATAAGGGGCGTTCACCTTCACCCTGAACCCCTGATTTACGTCACTCGGCTTGATGAGAGCTCTTAGCTACAGGATTAACTTTTTCAGCTTTTTTGCCGATTGTAAAACGAATTAATAAATAATTTAATATATTTCTTTTATTTGTATAACTATTATTATTACAAATGAATGTGATCACAGCTAGCATTGTTTCGTGATTTGGGAACAGAACTTCGAGAACACCAAAGGAGGTGAACAGGACAGATCAGCAAAAGGGGAATGCTATTTCCCATCAGTGGCTCTATCCCTTCTTATTGCAAACGAATATCTTTCGATTAATATTAATTAATTCGATTAATATTTAAGCAAGACCATCACCCCGATAGCCGAAGAACCGAAGCCGGACAATATTTCCGCATCTCGAATTAACAAGTGGCCTAGAATATACTATCTGTTTGTTTTTACATATTTATGCACACAGAAATTGGGAGAGGAGTGGACAGAGAGTGCCGTCTTCTTTTTTTTTTGTGTATGTATATAAAGCTTTTATCAATCCCCGCCGAAGCTCGAAGCCTCTTCGAAAGTCTTTGAATAATTTGGGAATCAGTTCCTCAGACACTTTTAATTTCCGCGGTCGTACAATCTCCTGGTAAAAGGATGCACATCTTCGGAACCATCTTCCTTTGGGCGCTGGCTACCGCTATCCTGCGGCAAGGATCCTTCGCGAAGGACCAGTCGGGGTACATCTGCCTTATTGAGGATCCTAAACAAAATCAGTGCGACAGCATCTGTCTGACTGAACTAATCCCACGGCTTAACGAAGTCGTCAAAGCCCAGAACCAAGGGAACAAGAACATCCGCGAATCTGACAATGAAATCAAATCGAGGCTGGAGACATTGGAAGTAAAAATAGAAGAAGTCCAGACCAAGCTACCTCAGGAGGTGCATGCCAAGGTGGAAGGACAACTACAAGGACTTCAGGAGGGGCAAACCAAACTGGAGGGCCAACAAACCAAGATGAAGGCTAAATTTGAAGACAGTCTGCTTGCGGTTAAGACCAAGCTGGAAGGACAAGAGGTGGTACTGACCAAGGTGAAGGACTCTCAGGCAAAACTCGAAGGAAGCCTTCTTGCGGTACAGGAAAAGATTGAAATCCAACTTCAGGCGGTTATAAATCAACTGCAGGCAATATCGAACAAGATAGATGCAGTCAAGGTGGGAGTCCATGCGATTACAATACATTCTGGATTCGAGCCAATAGGTAATAGATACTTCCATATATCGGATGATTTAATGAATTGGGAGACTGCTGAGAGAAGGTGTCGTGAGATAGGCGGCTATTTAGCCTCCTTTCGAAATGAAGAAGAAATTAACGCCATTACACCAAAACTTGAAGAATATACGAACTATTGGCTAGGCATTAATGATCGCGATAATGAGGGCCACTACGTATCTGTGGCCTCAAAAAAGCCCGCACCATTTTTAAATTGGAATGAGGGAAATTCAAGCGACAGAAACCATGAGGAGGACTGCGTCACTTTGTCTGGGGGCACAATGTGGGACGTCGGTTGTAATTTTAACTTTAGTTTTATTTGCCAGACGGACAATGAAACTTAGCAAAATTTGTATTGATTGTTTGAAATAAAGTTATACTTTAAATAATACCCGTCGAATTGGAACTTCTTCTTGGGAAATGTGTCATCGGTCATCGTTATAAATATATTGATAGCTCCTATCAATCCCAACTTAGTCCGAATGCTTCTTCGGAAGCCTTCGCCTGATTTCGAGAATCCGCTGATAAGGGACTTTCACCTTCACCCCGGATTTACGTCATTCTGGTCAAAAAGAGCTCTTAACAACAAACTGCGATTTTTTCTGCTAAGTGCGAATTCAAAAACAAATTAATTAATATTTTTGAATTAATCTTTGGCTAATATAACCATCGTGAGTCACCAAATTGGTGTATTGAAGTTAACAAAACAAAAATGCAATTTAAGCACCTCAAAATCAACATAGCCCCCCTATGAAGTCCATATATATATATAACCGATCACGCAGAGCGTACGGTCATCGTTATAAATAGCTCTTATCAATCCCAACATAGATGGGATGTTTCTCTGGAAGCCATCGCCTGATTTCGGAAATCCGTTGATAAAAGACTAAGAGAAGGTGACTTCCCCCTGAACCCCTGATTTACGCCACGCTGCTTGAAGAGTGCTCTTAGCTACAAGCTTATTCAGGAAATGCGTGGATAGAGAGTGTCGTCATCGTCAGGAAAAGCTCTCTTATCAATCCCATCCTAAGCTCGATGCCTCTTTGATAGTTTTTGAATAATTCGGGAATCAGTTCACAAAATACTTTCAACTTCCCCGGTCGTATAATCTCGCAGTAAAGGGATGCAAAACTTAGGAACCTTCTTCTTTTGGACGCTGGCAGCCTGTATCCTGTTTGATGGATCCTTCGCGAAGAGCCCTCGGTTTGGCTTTACCATTCTACTTGACGGTATTAGTCCCAATCAGACTGAACTACGATCTCTGTTGAGCGACGTCGGCCAGGACCAGGACCAAGGGAACACCCGGGATGCTGACATCGCAACTAAAGTCCTGGCGAAGCTTGACAGCGTGGCGGATCAGCAGGCTAAGCTGGAAGGACAACTACAAGGAGTGAAAGCTAAAATGGAAGGCCAACTTCAAGAGGGGCAGAATAGGATGAAGGAGTTGCTAAGATAGATGCTGCTGCCAAAGTGGAAACAGAAGTACATCCAATATCGAATAAGACGGCAGCCCTTCAACAAGCAGTCCCAGCTTTAGCCCCGATGACGATACCATCTGGTTTCGAGCTATTCGGTTCTAGGTATTTTCGGATAGTAAAAGAAAATACGATTTGGGATACGGCTGAGGGAAGGTGTCGTGAGATGGGAGGTTACTTAGCCTCCTTTCGAAATGAAGAAGAAATTAACGCAATTAAACCAAAACTAGGTAATGGGCTTTACTGGCTAGGCATTAATGATAGAGAGAATGAGGCCCACTATGTATCTGTGGCCTCACAAAAGCCAACACCATTTTTAAATTGGGATGAGGATGAACCAAGCGACTGGACCCATGAGCAGAACTGCGTCTTTTTGGAAAATGGCAAAATGGGGGACGCCTTTTGTAATGCTCCTCTCTTTTTTATTTGCCAAGCGGACAATGAAACTTAATAAAATTCGTATTTATCTTTTTAAATAAAGTTATATTTTTAAATAATAATATCGTCCTATTAATTCACTTAAAATGGGGCTCTTCCTGACATTTCAGCAATATGGGGCTTCTGGTTTAAAAATCGAGTTTGGATTATTATTCGAATTTAAAATAGTTCATTAGCAGGAACATGAATTTTAGCTCGGGATTTAGAATCCAAATGAATTCTTCAAAACGAACATTCCTTAATAATTTTTTTTTCGCTGTACATTCGTCATTTTGAAAGAAGTTTTTAAATGTCCGAGAGCGAGAGTCGAAAGCAGAGAGGCTGAAAAAACCCTTTATGCAATCTGCATGCGACCGAACAGATTTCTTTGTGAGAGAATTGATTGCATATTACGTATACGTAATGCCGCAAAAGCGCCAGAGCCATCGCCAGAGCCAAAGCCCTTCCATACGCACAACCTCATCAATAACTAAAGCCGACAGGTGAGAGGAGGAGGAGAAAGAGCACCAGCAGGAGCAGGAACAGAAGCAGGAGCAGCAGCAGGAGGTGACTGCCAAGTTGTTAGCACGCTCGACTGATATTATTTTTTTGCTCCTTTATGAATTATTCGCTAACGCATTGATTCGCATTGAGCCAAGGCGTCTTGCTGTGAATTTTCATTTGGCTTTTATTTACGTTCAATCGAGTTTTCGCGAAATTAGTTAAGTTTAGCGTGAATTTTATTATACTCCAGCAAAGTCCTTCACGTAGCCAGGAACCACTTCGAGAGAGAGAGAGCAAACTTCTTAATTAAAAGATTTGGCCACTGATTGGCTCAGGTAAGGGTTGTGTGCGGTGTGTGCAGGTGGAATAGTAGCTGTAAGAATTTATATTCAATTTGTTAAATGCATTCGAGTGGCCATTGTCTGCGGCGATAATTGCCAGAGAGAGAGAGGAAGGGAGTTGAGGTCGCAGGGCCGGATGAACTGCCGCCAGAGCAGTGGTTGCCCATAAATCTCCCTTCATTTTGCACTGGAAAAGCGCAAATAAATTCATAGATATGAGCTGAACCGAATGACCCTAACTGGCCCTTCGACATTCAAGCCAGCAAAATATTTGAAATTTAAATTTAATTTGAAAACTCAGCTCTGAAAGCCAATAAAAAGCTGTATTTAAGTTAGAAATCACGTAAAATCACAGCTACCTTTGATTGGAAGTTGAATTTAAAATGTATTTTCCTATTTAAAATTACAAATACACCCCTGTTTCAGGGGAACTTTGGATCAAAATTGGTAATTCTACTGACTCTTGATCCTCAGCTGATTAAAGTTGAACTTGCTCGCTTGGGTGGGACCCAGATTGAAGCTGATTGGGCGGGGTCCCCGTTTGCTGTGAACATGGAAAAAGTATTAATCTTCTCCAGAAATATATAAATATATCGTATCCCCACACTCACCATGCACTGTGAAAGTCACTGAGATCCTTGTTCGCCTTCAGCTTGCTTTGCTTTAAAGGCTCCACGCTTTCATCTTTGTTGGAGAATTGATTCCAGCGGCAGGGATGTGCCTTCAGCAAGCTCTGGAGATACCGTTTGGTCTGGTGATCTCTACAGCACATGCATCCCAGAGCCTTTTCATCCCGGCAGCACCTTGGATCCGGGCTGCTCTGGCGCACCACCTCCATAAACATGCCGGTCAGCAGCTCCTCCATCACCTGCTCGGTATTGGGACGACTGGCCAGGTGAGGATTTACATAGTGCATCACACGCTCCACGGTCTGCTCGTAGTCCACCGGCAGCCCGGTCTGATCATCCAGACGAAAGAGCCTGGGCAGCTTGTCCTTGGGCTTGGGTTTGGGCTTATTCCGGTAGACTGTACGGCGCCAGACCTGTTGACTTGGGGGGCTGCGTCGAGAGGCGGGGGATCTCTTCTGGTTGCCAGACCTTTGGCTCACGAAGAGGTTCTTCAAGACGCTCTGCTTCTGCGGTTCAATTTTGTTAACTTTTTTCGGAAAGGTGTTTTTCTTTTTCCGTATGATTTTGGGCTTCAAAGTAATCTTCCTGCTGGGCTTAGGCATTTTTGGGAATTTCTTTTTTTACTTACAAAATAATTTTGTTAAGATCAAAAGGTTTTTAAATTTTAAAATGTAGATTTTGGTTAGAGAATGTCTCTGCGAAAGGCCTGCTTACTAAACAAATCAACAAAAAATCACCTTTAGGAGTTTCTTCTGTACATTTTGTTAATAATTTTTCTATACTGCACTTTTCTTTCTGTGTAACGCACTTAACAGAGAGATTTACAGGCAACTATTTAAGTTTTCACGTGAATCACAACTCCTGGCTCCCTGCTGCCTGCTGCCTGCTCTGTGATCCTTGTGGAGGACAACATGATTACAATTGCCATCCTAGATTTATGATTTCATTGCACACTTACACACACTCCACACACACACACTCACACACAATTGGACGGACTTGCATAAGTTGTGAGCTGATGTGGCCACAGCCAACTTAACTTTTGAAACAATGTCAAATACAATAAACGTGTGCTGTGCTCTGTCCCTCTTGTTGTTACCCTTGTTGTTGTTGTTGTTGTTGTTGCTGCTGCTGGCGATGACACCCACACAGACGCAGGGCGAGTGTGCCGGCATTAAATGTATTTGTGTGTGTGTGTGTGTGTGTGACTGTTAGTGCCGAGTGTTAAACCGCATTGTTTGAATGCAGCGCTGGGCGAACAATGTAAATTGCCAGCGAAACACTGGCGACAGCATTGGGAAAAAAATATGTGTATTTTTTATTTATATATATAAATTATATATTAGTATATAAATTATTATTATTTAATGTTTTTTATCCATATATTTTATATTTTATTTATTTAATTTTTTCTTTTTGTTATATAGATTTCAGGTGAATTATACATATTTATACCCTTGCAGGGTATTATAATTTCAGTCAGAAGTTTGCAACGCAGTGAAGGAGACGTTTCCGACCCTATAAAGTATATATATTCTTGATCAGCATCAACTGGGGAATCTTTCTAGGCATGTCCGGAAGAAATCGATTTTTTGGCCATTTTTGCAAAATTTTAAAATTTTGGATTTTGATAAAAAATTGAATTTTCAAAATTTTTATATAAAGTATGCAGATTTATTAGCTGTAGAAAATTTTGCACAGAACAGTTTTCCGATTTAAAATTAATGCTCTTTTGGCCGAGTTATGATATTTTTAATTTAAAAAAAATCAAGAAGTTTTTTAATATAAAAAATCAGAATTTATAATACAAAATAATATTTTTCTAGGTCAAGGAATCATTTTTGACCCCATAAACCATATATATTCTTGATCAGCATCAACAGGGGAATCTTTCTAGACTTGTCCGGAAGAAATCGATTTTTTGGCCATTTTTGCGAAATTTGATAAGGGGTTACATCATTAAAATTAGCAAACATTGCAAAAAATTTTGATTTCTTAAAATTTTAAATTTGGTATGCAGTTGTTTTAAATTAATGAAAACTAACACAAAACTGCTTTCCGAATCGAAATTAATGCATTTTTGGCTTAGTTATGATATATTTTAATTGTTACCTGCAAGGGTATACAAACTTTGGCTGGCCAAAGTTAGCTTTCTTTCTTGTTTTTTATTGTATTTTATTTATTATATTTTAAGTTTATATATAATATAATATGTACATATATAGATATTATATATTATAAATATTTTCTTTATTATACCAAGAAAATCGTTTATTTTGCAGGAGAGCTGAAACAAGTAAGAAAACTGGAGTTAAGTGAGCTCAACAATGTATTATAAGGTAAGCCAAGCTTAACATTTTACACTTCTGGATACATATATACATATATATTCATTAAAAAATCACATGAAATAAATAAGGACATGTTAAAAATCTTGAAAAAAAAATCGTACATATATGCAACTAGGAAAATATATATTTATTATTTATATTTTTGTATTATGGTTCAAAAATGTTTACATTGGGTCATGGAAAATTAATTAAAAAATGTATCACTTACGTTTCACTTAAGAAAACGTAGCTTTGACTCTACTTAAAATATTTTTTATTTAAAAATTTTTTTTTTTACTGTGCATTCATAGCCATAGCATTGGGGGGATATACACAAGTGCCGCAGATACGTATAAATTATATGCGTTGGCTGCTGCAGCAGCAGCAACACGAGATACGGGGCAACAACAAAGTTGAAACACTCCCATAAACACCCACACACACACACCCACACACAATGCTCAATAACACATAGTGGCACACACTCCGTTGGATTGCAAAAGACGCAGCAGAAATAGAACAAAAGCAATACAATTAATCATCGAAGAGCAGGCCAAGCAGAAACAGCATGCTGTTTAAGCAGAACCAGGAGCGGGGGGAGGAGGGGCTAACGGGAACAGGAACAGGAGCAGCAGGATCAGAGCCAGAACTAGAGCCGCCACGACATTTGTGGGGCAAATATGGTTGCAACATTACCAACAACATAATTCATTATTAACAAATGGCATAGCGTCGCATAGAAATGCTCTATTGGAATTATTTCAGACATTTTTTGTGGTTTAAAATAATTATATTTGCTAACTATTTGTTTAACTTGGGATTAGTTTGTATTTTTATTGGGAAAATATAGTTATTTTATTTATTGATTCCTCGTAAATTCAAATGAAACCTTAGCTTGTCGTGAAAATATAAAAAAATATTATAAATAATACTTAAAAAAACATATTTTATTATGAAAATAATTCCAAAAATTATAATAAATATTACTAAAAATTAGACAAAATTTTAGAAAATATTTAAAAATGCAATTTTAATGTTTAAGCTTATATTAATATTATAAATTTATTTATCAAATATTTTAGTATGAAATCCTTTATAATTTTTGCTTAAATATGCAACTTTCTGTGCAAACAACATGCTCCACTTGTCTTCTTAAACGATCTAAAATTGAATTTGGATCTTTGTAGATCTCTATATAGATCTATATAAGAGTTATAAGGATAAACAAACCCCTTGAAAGTTGGCAAAAACTCTTAAATTAATAGAAATACTAATAACATTAGAGTGAACTCTCAGGTTTACAAAACGACACAAAAGTAGCTTTATATCTAAACAAACTCCCATTCAATCCGCTTCCTGTTCGACCCCAAAATATACTCTCTTGCAACTTCTTGTCAACGCATTGGCACTACATTCCCGAAAACAAATCCAAACAATGGCAGGATCAGGCCGCAGTGAAGAGTACTAATGGCACACACTTGTTTCTGGGACGGGCGTGGTGTTTAGTGGGCGTGGCAGCTAGATACAGTGTGCAACTGCCACAGCCACTGCAACAACTGTGTGCAATCAATTATGTGCTGCTGGGCTGGGCACCGATACCAGAAGCTGGCATAAGCAGGATCTCAAACCGAATGCCAATGCAGCTGTCAGGCAGACGAACTAGATACCAAAACCACAACTCCGCCGGAGTCTTATCCCCGGCTAAGTTCAATTAGGTGAAGGCAAGCTGAAACCTGAAAAGCATAAATGTCATTTTCCATAAGAAACGTCAAATTTGATTTTATTTTTTCTTTTTTTAAAGAAAGAAAAAGCTGGCAAAGAAGAGAGAGAGAGAATTTCTATAGCCAAGGAAATGACTTTACACCTTCTTTTCCCCTCGAAAGAAATGGATCAAATATAGATTTATGTGTTTCATGTCAAAATAAATGGATTTTACATGTTGCCACAAAGCGTTCGATGCGAGCGGCTCCCGAGCCCCGCAAGGACGACGGTGACAAACAGCAACAACAATGAAAATATAACGTGGCATTAAAATGTCATTTCATACTCATACAAACAAGCTCATATAACGCTCCCCTTTGTTGGCAGCCGAGGGAGCAGCCAAGGGAGCGAAATATTAAGTTAATATGTTTGAGCTTTTGTCGGTTGTGCGGGGGTGGGAAGTGGGTGGGGGTTTGGCTCTTTGATCCCTGGGAAATTTAGCAAAGTGCAGACAGGATATTGGCAGCTGCTTGCAGCCAAACACCCACACACACACAGGATATTAAAGCCATAAAGATGAAATATTTCTGCACACATTCACCTAGCAATCAGGCCGATTCGCACACATCCAGGTGCGATCCGCGTCCCTGAATCCCAATCCGAATCCGAATCCCGAAGCTAGACAAATTCCCCCCCGAACAATGGGGATTATTCAAATTATTTCCCACTTGCTGGCGTCTTCTCCTGGCACGTCTATTTGTGTTTGTGTGTGTGTGTGTGTGACACATGATGCCATGTCATATAATTTATCAGCGCATTTTTGGCATTCAGCTCGCGTCCTGACATTGCCCCCGAAAGGCCAACAAAACAAAAAGAAATGCCAGCTTTCGCTGCTCCAATGCCCTGTGTTACTTACTCTGGAGGTGCCACATGGCCAGCCTCAGTCCCTGAGGGAGGAGTACACCAGGAGCAAGAGAGGTTCTCTTGGTTTATAAGAAAATATACAAGTTTAAGAGCTTTTTTTGGGTTAATAATGATTTATTTTTGGTTTTAAGTGTATTTTCCATATTATTTTTATCTATTTTTTGTATTTAATATATTTATTTAAGAAATAAAAGTACCAAAAACTGTTCAAAATAATTTATTACAAATAAATATTGAAGGTTTTTAAGGGTATTTAAAGGGATTTTTAAAGAAATGCCTTTGTAAATTCCCTTGTACATTTTTGTATTTATATTTTATTCAACTTACTCTACACCCAATTTCTCTCAGTGCTATAGCAAGGTCCTTGTTTGGCTCCCTTGAGCTTTGTTTTCGTTTCTCTACCGTTTCTTTTCGCCTTTGCTCTTTGCCCGCTTTCCAGCTTTTCCTGCTTTTCCTGCTTTTCATTTTGATAAATATGTGGAGGGCAGAAATCTATCATTTCGCGTGTCGCATAAATAAATACATCAAGAGGCAACACCCAACCACCCACTAGCACACACACACAAGGATTACAGCGGCACACAAACTGTTAATCAAGGGCGAAAAAAAAGGGGAATCCCCCTCCTCGCCTTCGTTGGGAGTTGGCAATTTGTTTAGTCGTTAAACTTTTTTAGCGTTTCGTTATTTAATGCAAATTGATGATAACGGGCAGCGCAACGCTAATGAGTATACGAGCAAGGATCCTGGGAACACACTCCTCTC